GATGCTGGCTTCATAGAAGGAGTTTGGAAGTGTTCCTTCCTCTTGAATTTTTTGGAATAATCTGAGGAGGATAGGTTTCAGTTCTTCCTTGAATGTTTGGTAAAGCTCTCCTGTGAAGCCATTTGGCCCTGGGCTTTTGTTTGCTGGAAGCTTTTTGATGACTGTTTCAATTTCTTCCCAAGTCACTGCTCTATTGAGATTTTTAGATTCTTCATGATTGAGTTTTGGAAGTTTGTATTTTTCTAGGAATATGTCCATTTTCTCCAGGTTGTTCAGTTTGTTGGAACAGAGTTGTTCGTAGTATTTTGTAACAATCCTTTGTATTTCGGCGGGGTCTGTTGTTATTTCATCCCTTTCATTTCTGACTTTGTTTATTTGAGTCCTCTCTCTTAGTCCATCTATCTTTGTTTCTAGAGCATCTATCTTGTTTATCCTTTCAAAGAACCAGCTCTTGGTTTTGTTGATCTTATGTATTGTTTCTTTGGTCTCTATGTCGTTTATCTCCGCTCTGATTTTTGTTATTTCCTTCCTTCTGCTTACACTGGGCTTTTCTTGTTGCTGTTTTTCTAACTCTTTGAGTTGTAGAGTTAGATAATTTGTTACCATTTTTTCTTGTTTTTTTGCAATAGGCTTGTGGGATATGAACTTCCCTTTCAAAACTGCTTTTGCTGTGTGCCATAGATTTTGGATTGTTGTGTTTTCATTGTCATTTGTTTCCAGGATGTTTTTAATTTCTTCTTTGATTTCTCTGGTAACCCAATCCTTGTTTAATAACATGCTATTTAGTCTCCATGTGTTTGATTTCTTTGGATTATTTTTATTGTAGTTAATTTCCAGTTTTATGCCACTATGATCTGAGAAGATGCTTGATATGATTTCTATCTTCTTGAACTTGAAGAGATTTTGCCTATGTCCCAAAATGTGGTCTATTTTTGAGAATGTCCCATGTGCACTTGTGAAGAATGTATATTCTGTGGCTTTGGAGTGGAATGTTCTGAAGATGTCAATTAATTCCATCTGGTCTAGTTAGTCATTTAGGACTGATATTTCTTTGCTGACTTTTTGTTTAGATGATTTGTCCAAGGGTGACAGTGGGGTATTAAAATCTCCTACTATGATTATATTGCTATTAATTTCTCCCTTAATGTTCTCGAGCATTTTTTTTTTAATGTATTTGGGTGCTCCCGTATTGGGTGCACATATATATTTACTAGGGTTATTTCTTCTTGTTGGATTGCTCCCTTTAGTATTATGAAGTGGTCTTCATTATCTCTTGTTATGTCCTTCACTCTGAAATCTAATTTGCTACCCCAGCTTTTTTTTCATTTCCATTCTCCTGGAAAACCTTTTTTCATCCCTTCATCCTCAGTCTGTGTGCGTCTTTTTTTCTGAAGTGGGTTTCTTGTAGACAACAGATATATGGGTCTTGTTTTCTTATTCAATCCGTTACCCTACGTCTTTTGATTGGAGCATTTAATCCATTTACATTTAAAGATTTTATTGATAGGTACTCATTTGATGTCATTTTTATTCTATACCCCTGTGTTCCTTTTTCACTTCCTATTTCTTTATTTTTACAGTAGACCCTTTAGCATTTCTTGCATTGCTGGTTTGGTGGAGATAAATTCCTTTAGACTTTTTTTTGTCTGTGAAGCTCCTGATTACACCTTTAATTTTGATTGATAGCCTTGCTGGGTATAGCATTCTTAGATTCAGACTCTTCCTTTGCATGACTTTGCATATTTCATCCCATTCCCTTCTGGCCTGATGAGTTTCTGTTGAGAAGTCAGTTGCTAGTCTGATGGGGGTTCCTTTATATGTAACTTTCTGTCTCTTTCTGGCTGCTTTTAAGATTCTTACTTTATCGTTGGTGTTTGCCAGTTTAACTAGAATGTGCCTTGGCGTCTGTCTTCTGGGATTCATTTTGCTTGGGACCCTGCGAGCATCTTGGATTTGTGTGGGATTTTTCTTCTCTATCTCAGGAAAGTTTTCTGTCATTATTTCTTGAAATATGTTTTCCATGTCTTCCTCAGTTTCCTTTCCTTCTGGAACCCCTATTATTCTAATATTGTTTTGTTTTGTATTGTCCCAAAGTTCCCTTAGGCTCTCCTCTTGCTTTTTAATTTTTTTTTCCAGAAGCTGCTCTAATTGGGTATTTTTTTTCCCACCTTGTCTTCTAGCTCACTGATGCGGTCCTCTGCTTCTTCTAGTCTACTATTGAGTTCTTTATAGCAGCGATATCATTTTTCATTTCTTCTTGATTCATCTTTATTTCCTCTTGGTTCTTCTTCAATTCCTCTTGGTTCTTCTTCATTTTCTCTTGTTTCTTATTCATATCGTCAAATTTCTCTTCCATTCTTTTTAGCCATCCTATGATCATTACTCTGAATTCTTGCTCTGATACGTTGCTTGCCTCTAACTCATTTACTTCCTTTTCTGGTGATGCCTGCTTTTTTTTCATGTGTGGGCTATTTCTTAGTCTCCCCATGGTCTCTCTTTTCAGGATGTCTGGTTATGCTGTATTCCTTCTGCGTTGATTTAAAGGCACAAAATACAACACTACCCGGTGCAACACAAAAGGCACTTAATAGGAATGTATTTGCAATATTAATAACCTCTAATAAAGGTGACCACTATAGAAAGAGAGAGAGAGAGAAAGAGAGAGAGAGACAAGAAGCAGACTAAGAGAGAAAGGGGAAACAAACTATATATATATATGGAGAAAATTCCCATACAACAACCACTAACCCCTGCAAATGCCAGCAACAATACTTGGAGATTAATACAAACTACAATATCCACTATTATTAAGTAAGGCTATGATATGCAGAAGTAAAAAACAAACAAAAACAAAGGGTTTTAAAAAATACAAAGCAACAATAACAACACAAGAATAAGCATAACAATTTCACTAAAAAGCATAAAAATTCACTATAATCACCATTCACGTAAACAATGACAAAAGGTTAGAGAGAACAGTTTTTTTTTTGTTTGTTTTTTTTTAACTAGTTAATATAGTGAAAAGAGTGGTATTTATACACTTGGAGCAGGGGGTTGGAAATTAGGTCTATAAGTATGGTGAGAGTTTTAGCAGGGAGTATACAGAAAGAATAGGGGAAAAACTAAAGCCAGAAAGAGATAAGATAAACAGGAGACGAAAGGGTAAAGGTTAGTAAGAGAGTGATGGTGTAAAGGTTGAGTTGAGATAAGGTTGAACGATGCTATAGTAGAGATTAAAATAGAATGAAGACTAATCCCAATGTAAAATAAAGAGAAAATAAAATTGTACTGGAGAAAAAAAAGAAGAAAAAGGAAACAAAGAATTCAAAATAGCAGTAGTAATAATGATTGAGATTGAAAAATGTAATAATTGAAAAGGTAAAATCAAGTAAGGAAAAAAGAAAAAAAATTTGTTTCTTAAGTAAAAGATGTAAAAAATGAAAACAAAATAAAAGATGTAAAAAATTAAAATAAAATAAGGAATAGTAAAATTAGCATAAAAATGTCCAGTAGTGGTCATTCACTTCCTTTGTTATTGTATTGTATTTGGCATGCCTGATTCTCGGACCAGACAGTCTTGCAGTTCCAAGCTTTCCACTGCACCTCAGTTTTGTAAGGTAGTCCTTAATTTTAAGTAGGCTATATCTTAATTATTTGTATACATTTATTTTTGATTAATTAAAAAAAAAAAGACAGTTTGTAATTCAGCCCCTAGGTGGCAGTGTTTCTGGTTTGAACTCCCAGTCTTTTTGGCTGCTCTAGCCTTCTTTCTCTATGGCTCTATGCTTTGATCTAGTAGGCTGCCAGACTATCTCTTCTGGCTCTGATCCCCCGTTTGCAGGAAGGCAATTTTCCCCTGCAGTCTTCAGGATATGTCCAACTGGGCAGTCCTTCCCTAGTACTCAGAAGCAAAGGGGTGAAGGAAATTAGGTGGAGGGTGGGTCTGCACCAAGGTGTCCAGATGTTCCACCCTTGTCGGGACAGTCCTGATTCTTAACAATTTGTCCTGTGTCCCTTGGCATTTTAAAAAACTCCCGATTTTTGGGAAGATTATGCCAAACCCAGCACTGGGTCTAGCAGGGGAGGATTCTCTCTGCAGCCACAGCCTTCTTTCGGCGCAGCTCAGTGCAGGGGGTGCTCGGGTGCTCCGTGGCTATAATCGCTGTGGGGCTGTGCTCTGGGGGGCTGCTCAGGAGCGCTGCAGCTACAGTCGCTGCCTGTGCCCCTGGGACCCAAAACCCTCATATTTTCCCCGCAAACTCTAACCTTTCCGTGGGTGATTGAAGAACTCCCTTGAATCCACGTATTTGCGCCGATTGGGGCGTCACAGCTGCTCGATGGTCTCCTCTGCTGTGGGTTTTCCAGGCCTCAGAGAAGATCCTCCTTTCCTGGTAAGATGGCACAGCCTTCCCTCTACACCCGTAGTTCTGGGAGAGTTCTCCGCCACCGCAGTGCTGGCTGCTTGGTCAGGAAATCCTGTCCAGCGGACCCTTCCTTACTTTCCTTTAGAGTTCTGCTAACCCTTAGCTGCCAATCAATATTCCCTGAGTGACTCAGATGCTGCTTCTATCTGCTCTGGGATCAGGGTCAGAACAAGTCCATCTGTTCGGCCGCCATCTTGTCCTCCCTATCCCACAGTCAACAATAGAATCACACATCCTAACCCGGAGATAGTTCAATCACTACTAGCTATAGAATAGTATTAAATTTTAGTACCAGCTGAAGCCGGATTGGCTCAGTGGTAGAGTGTTGGTCTGCAGACTGAAAGGTTCCAGGTTCGATTCCGGTCAAGGGCATGTACCTTGGTTGCAGGCACATCCCCGGTGGGGGGTGTGCAAGAGGCAGCTGGTCGATGTTTCTCTCATCGATGTTTCTAACTCTCTATCCCTCTCTCTTCTTCTCTGTAAAAAACCAATAAAATATATTTAAAAATAAATAAATTTCAGTACCAAATTCATCAATACATTCAGAATTTCTATAGGTGTGTATTTTGTTGGCAGGAGAACTAAAGGCAAACTTGGATGAGCATATTAAGCTTTACAACCAGAAGTATCCAGGACTACTGAAAATAGTACGGCATACCAGGAGACAAGGTCTTGCTCAAGCCCGCAACACTGGCAGGGAAGTGGCCACAGCTGAAGTAGTTGCCATCCTGGATGCTCATATTGAAGTGAACGCTGGGTGGTAAGGCTCCAGATGGTTTCTTCTTCTGAAAAAAGGGGGGAAAGGACATATTGTAATTCTAAATATAAGATAGGATAGTGTGGAAATAGGGAAAGCCTACATCAGACTTTAAACACAGGGAAGCTACAAAGACAGGATGCTTTTACTCGAGGACTTTGGTTGGCTAAGGATAGTGCTGGAGCAAAAACAATGGGCTTGGCGTATTGACATTGCGCCCAATCCTGACTTTACAATACTTTGGGACTTTGTATACATCATGTCATCTAACTTGATATTCATGTGATTATCCATAAAATGGAAGAGTTTACCTTTTGGTAATTCCTAAGGTTTTTCCCAGCTCTGAAATTACATGACATAAAGAGAGCTCTGTTCTTTGGAGAAGGTGGAGAATCAGATAGTAAAGAGTTATTATTTTGGAAATAGCATAGCCCAAAGGTAATATACATTAAGGTGGAATACTGATGGTCCTGGTTCAAAGTAGCTCAGGGGTAGTATTTGGATACTAATTTCAAATATGCTTTTGACATGGGTCAGCTGTTAGCATCCCAGCTATCCTAAAAGCTGCAGAACTTTTCTGGACTCCGGAGCGTTCCTTTCACCATCCAGCTCAGTCTAAATGAAGAAAGAGCTAAATGTCAGGGCAAAGTGCTTGGGACACCTTTATCTGCTTGCTCCTGCTGCTTACCCACACACCTAACCTGGGTTTGTTACACACCCTTCTAGGGCAGAGCCCATCTTGACCCGGATTCAGGAAGACCACACTGTGATTGTGTCTCCTGTGTTTGACAACATTCTCTTTGACACATTTGAATTAGAAGAGTATTCTTTGGCAGTTGATGGGTTTAACTGGGAACTATGGTGCCGTTATGATTCACTGCCAAAGGCCTGGATTAATCTGCATGATGTCACTGCTCCAGTTAAGTAAGTCTGAAAGGTCTCAGAAACATGGTTAGCACATGGGCAGTCAAGAATGAATAGTGTGTAGTGGTAGTAATGGAAGAAGAGTGAAAGGAATGAAGGAAAGGGAATAAAAATAAAAAAACGCTGATTCCAGATAAGAAGGAAAGAGAATAAAAATAAAAAACGCTGATTCACAAACACTTTGGGCTATCTGAGGGCTTTCAAGCAAAATAAAGCAAATGTTTTAGAAAACATTTGGGCCATTTTAAGCATTTATTAAGCTATGAAGTATGGATATCCAGATGAAAAAGATGTACTTTTAATATACCTTGAGAAGGGTTATGACATCACAGAGCGTGAGGGAAAGTTACACTTAGTTCAACTAGAGGCTTAAGGAAACCCTACGGATAAGAGGTCTGGGTAGAGTTTCAAAGGCCAAACCATGACTGTGTTTCCTACTGCTCATCTCCCTCCTAACCCATTCACTATGGAGAGGTTAGTAACTCTCTTGCTTTGTGTTCCACAGGAGTCCTTCCATCATGGGCATCCTGGCAGCCAACAGGCTCTTCCTGGGAAAGATTGGGTCTGTGGATGGTGGAATGCTGGTCTATGGAGGAGAGAATGTGGAACTTAGCCTGAGGGTGGGTATATTTCCATTCTTCTTATGGGACAAAGCAGAGGGAAAATAATAGGAGGGTACCCTGTTTCCCCGAAAATAAGACAGTGTCTTATATTAATTTTTGCTTCCAAAGATGTGCTAGGTCTTATTTTCAGGGGATGTCTTATTTTTCCATGAAGAAGAATACGGTACACATTTATTGTTAAATGAAAATAAAGGAAATTTATTACCTGTATACGGTATGGTAGTACGATAGTTGTCAACACAAACCAGACAAACTGTGAATCCTACAGTATCAAGAATTTACTCATTTATTCAATGACAATCATGTCATCATCTTCTGGAACATCATCATAACAACCCAATTCCTGAATTTTCTGGTGAATTTCTTGTGACTCCATTTCTTTCAGAATCAGTGGACCAAATCTCTCATGTTTAGCCTGGGGAGGGGGGTTTATTTTCGAGGAGATGCCTTATATTTCACTCAGAAGGGAAACCTGTAAGTAGGTCTTATTTTCGGGGAAACACAGTAGTAGTACCTCTGGAATCCTGAAACAAGGCTGATTGTCATTGGTTCAAGAGGTGGAAAAATCCTCATGTTTGTAGGTCCCTAGAGAAAGGCAAGAGGACTTCAGGAGTGGCGTCTTTTTTATGTAGGTTTATATAATCTGGGACTTATTAGGGAAAGGGTAAAACTGAGGCTCAGCAGATGGTGTTCCCCATTGTCTTGAGGAATTGAGACATTTTTTAAGCATCTCCTAGAATCAAACAACTCTATGGCAAGACAGCGTTCTATAAGACCAAAGAGAAACTGGGCAGAAGGTCCAGGGATACAGATGTGTGGGTAGCCAAATTGCTCCTGAATGGACAGCTAGGACAGCTGACATGATGGCATAGGTCATGCTGAGATGTGGTTTAGTCTAGGACAAATAGCCAGTGATGGATTGTATAGCAATAAAATAAAAATGAGAACCACTTCTCGTTCTGACTGTGCACTGGCTACTCAGCAATGATGCCTCTTCTCTGCTCTAGCTTGGCTTTGACGGGGTGGCTCTGAAGGCTTCAGTTTGGAACTAGTGCATTGTTTTTTTCTGTCCTATTAAATTTGTCAAAGTATATCTTATGGTCAAGCCCAAAGTCAAGGGGTGGGGAATATCTATCTACAATGAAGTGACAGAGAACTGGGGCAATAAGTTCAACACATCACAATCAGTTTGGAATAGGTCTCTTGCAAATCTTAATTCCAAATCCTACTTTTCCACTGGAAAGTTTGTGCTATCCTGGCCAGATACAAACTCCCTAAGCCATACCTGCTGCACCAAGAACCTAGCATGGTGAGTGATATGTGGCTTACACTTGATAATGAGTTTATAATAAAATAATAATAAGGATGTCAGGATGGCATTGTAAAAAATGCTGGACCTAGGTTCTAATCTTGGCTCCGCTAATTCTCCATTTCTATAAAATGCTCTCCCCCACAACTGCCAGCTCCAAAATTCTTTGCCTGAGTCAAGGTGACCTCTGGCCCATTGTGTTTTCTGAAGGAACAAGATAATTTCTTATATAAAGCTTATTCTGTCCAACTCCCTTCAGTTTCTTTCCAATTGAGACTGAAGACCACATATTGCACCCTTTTAGGACCCAATCAAGATCCCACATTTTTGGTTAACAAATGAACTTTGAGTGCCTGTCTGAGTTTTCCATTAAGCCAAAACCATTCTCTAGCAGAGAGATTTATTACTTTTTTGCCTGGTGGCCTTGATCAGTTTTTCCACTTGTGAAATGAAGAAAAGTGTCCTTGTTTTAACTATCTCATAAGAATGATTGTGCAGTTAAAATGTAATAAATAATTTGAAATAATTTATGAAGATATGAATTAGAATTCTTATTTGGATTTTGGGACAGAAGTCAAAATAATAGAGGTTTAAATAAAATAGAAATTAATTTGTTTTCTTCCATAACTTTCTGAACAAAAGTGGTTCAGGTTTGAGATTGCAGCTCCAGGATGATGGAGACCAAGACTTTCCCATCTTGTGGTTCTGCTTCACTCAATATCACATCCATATTCTATTTTTAAAAAATATATTTTATTGATTTTGTACAGAAAGGAAGGGAGAGAGATAGAGAGTTAGAAACATCGATGAGAGAGAGTCATCAATCAACTGCCTCTCGCACACCCCCTACTGGGGATATGCCCGCAACCAAGGTACATGCCCTTGACCGGAATCGAACCCGGGACCCTTCAGTCCCCAAGCCGACGCTCTATCCATTGAGCCAAACCGATCCCGGCCACATCCATATTCTAGTTAGCAGGAAGAGAAAGTAGGGAAAAAGAGAGTATGCTCTTTCTCTCTCGGTTTTTTGTTTTGTTTTGTTTTGTTTTTTTACCAGTTCTACCTGCAATTGTGTATATTGTATTTCATTGTTCAGCACTGGTCAGATGGTCATGCCTATATTCAGTCAAGGTGTTGGCCAGGGTTGGGTTCTTAGCTAGGACTGACTGAAGAAGGATCTGCTTCTAGGCTCATGTTGGTGTTGGCAGCATTCAGCTTCTTGAAGTCTTCCAGTCTGAGGAGGCATTCAGGTTGGAAGCCACCATTAGTTTCTTGCACTCTTCGTATGGTGGCTCACAACTTGGCGGCTTGCTTCTTCTAAGCCAGTAAAAGAATGCATCTCCTAGCAAGATGGACACTACAATCTTATGTAATGTAATCACACACATGTAATTGTGTACATACTTTTTCCATATTCTACTGGCTAGAAGAAGATCACAAACCCACACTCAAAAGGAGAGGAGCAAGGAAGGGTATGAAGATGAGGAAGCATGGATCATGTGGACCACCTGTGCATAATATCTGGCATGCAGGTCCAGGAAGGGTCATAGGACACTAACTCCAGTGTGATTAGCTCAGGGCTGGGTGCTCCTCAAGACATTGGCACTTTTCCTGAGGATAAATGAGCAAGGACAGATTGCCATGACCTTTGCAGTGGGGTTTAGGATCTGAAGGAGGGGCTGATGCAAAAATGAAAATGCTATACAAGAAATATGAATTTAGAAGGCATTGGGGGCCAGGTGGAACCTCTTTCTTGAAGAGACACACGGAAACTGGGTCCTGTTTTCTTTTATTTAGTTTTAGATAAACATCTTGCCATCGGTAAAGCACGCAAACAGGTAGCAGACAAACTGTCTCTAAAGTCAATAAAGATCAGTAAAGATCAGTAAGATGATCAGTCAATAAAGATCAATAAAGATCAGTAAACATTTGCTTGGAGGCTATTGAGCCACCACTATCTCAACACAAACAATCAGTACTTAGCTTCAGCCCTGCCAACGTGCAAGATCCATTGGCCTTCCGCATTCCTTGGTGCACTCTCATGAAAGTATTGGCAAGTGGTGACTTCCTACAACAGACCTTCCTTTGGTTTGTTCAGAAAGACTTCCTAAAGTGGGTAGGATTTCTGGAACTGTCTGAAACCAAGGAGAGAAGAAGGTTGGTGAACTTCTAAGGAAGATTGTTTTAGATAAATGGTTTGGGAGGTAACATAAAGATGCGAGTGGGGGGACTAAATTTACATTATTTAAAAAATGGCTCCAAAATGTTGGTCTCTGTGCATCCGTAAGCAATGCTACTTATTGGCCATGGGGCCAAGATTGTCCAGATGATTTTCCCCCCTTCTCTTGTAGGTGTGGCAGTGTGGAGGGAGAATTGAGGTCTTGCCCTGCTCCCGGATTGCTCACCTAGAGAGACATCACAAGCCCTATGCCTTGGATCTGACTTCTGCCATGAAGCGCAATGCTCTCAGAGTGGCTGAAATCTGGATGGATGAGTACAAATACATGGTCTACCTGGCTTGGAATATACCACTCCAGGTTTGTCATGGCATTGAATAGGGCCAGGAGGAGGAGGTTGTGATATTGGTGGGAAATGGGAAGGGATACAGCAAAAGTATCATCCCAGCTCTAAAGAATAAGGGTAAAGTCCAGATGGTTTGATGATAATGACACAACACTTAAGAAGTAATACTATGTTCCAGACTCATTAATTATCACAACATACTTAGAGGGTAAGTTTTATTTTTAATTTTATTTATTTAAAAATTTTTATATTACAGTTTACATTCAATGTTATATTAGTTTCAGATATATATCATAGTGCTAGGGTACTTACATAACTTACCAAGTGTTCCCTGTGATAAGTCTAACACCCACCTGGCACAGTACATAATTATTACAATATTCCCTGTGCTGCACTTTACATTCCTGTGATTATTTTGAAATTGCCCATTTTTTAGTTCTTAATTACTTCCCTCTTTTCACATAGCTCCCAAACCCCCTCACACCTGACAACCATCAGTTTGTTCTCTATATCTATGAGTTTATTTCTGTTTTACTTGTTTATTTATTTTGGTTTTTCTTTTCCACATTGAAGTGAAATAATGTGATACTTGCCTTTCTCTGTCGTACTTATCTATGCCCAAATAACCTTTGTGTACATTCATGTTGTCACAAATGTCAAGATTTCATTCTTGTTTATGGCTAAGTAATATTCAATTGAATATGTACCACATCTTCTTTACCCATTTGTCTATTAATGGACACTTAGGTTGCTTTCAGACTTCATTGCAAATAATGCTGCAATGATCATAGGGGCTCATTTTTTTTTTCAAAATAGTGTCTTAGATTTCTTCAAATAAAAACTCAAAAGTGGAATTGCTGGGTTTTGGTAGTTCTATTGCTTGCCTCCATTTTGTTTAGTTCTTTTTCTAGAGTTTTGTCTTGTTTAATTTGGGATTTTTTTTCCCCTCCTCCTTTTGACTATCTCCTGTGCTTGTTTCTATGTATTAGGTAGATCTGCTATGTCTCCCAATCTTGGGAGAATCACCTTATATAGTAGGTATCTTAATGGGTTCAGTGGCACAGTCTTCTTGGACACCTGAGATGGGTATGCCAGGGCTGTCCTTTAAGTAGGTTGTGTGTGCCCTACTGTTGTAGCTGAGCCCTGATTTCTGTTGGCATATCAGTGGGTGAGATTGACCCCAAACTGACTGGGTGTGAAGGCTGACCATGACTGCAACAGACAACCTATTGGTGTGTGAATGACCCCATAGAATGAGGTTCATTTGGGACTCTGGTACTGCTGAATTTGCCCTTTCAGTGTGTCATTTGTGGAATTAATTGGGTGGTGCTCTGGTGTGGTTTGAAGCTGGCCACTGGGTGTGTTATTTCTGGGGCCTCTTGAGAAGAGCTCCAGTGTTAGCCAAAGTGAGCTGCTGCCTGCCTGGCCTGGGGCCACCTGGTAGGAACTACAAAATGATTGGTGGTTGGTAGCTCCCTCTGTTGGGTTGGAGGCATCTGGGACCGGTTATGCTATGGACTGAGTGTGACTGCCACTCATGCCAAGCTTGAGCTGATTAGCAAGAGGTGCAGGACATACAGAGGCTACCCACTCCTTGTTTGGGGTTTGCAAATCTTTGAGAGATTTTAGGAAAGTCCACAGCTAAGGCCAAGGTTGGTTGCCTGTGAGAAACAGTCTTGGAAAGAGATTCATGCTGAAAGAGAATTCAGTGAGGTAAGGTCTCAGGGAATCACCAGGGAGGGGCAATTGGGATTAGCCAGGCTGATGGAGATTCAGATCTAGTGCATATATGTGTCTGCCTGCTGTGCAGGGAGAGGGCTCAATAAAGGAATAATGGCACTTGTCAGTACTTCTGTCCATGAGAGAGCTGCCCCTCCTTCCCTCTCTCTGAAGCCAGTTAATTTAGTTTCTCCCCATATGTCCCTTGTGTTTTCCAAGCTGCTGTTCCTTTGCTGGAGCTTAGGGCAAGTGTGAGCGAGTGAGTCTTTGCTCGGGTTCTTTAAAAGAATATCTGGTCTACAGCAGCCCTCCGCCTCACCTGATTTTCACAGACAGATATTGTGGGGACTCCTATTCCTAGCACTGGTTCTTCAGGCTGGAGAGTGAGGTGTGAGCCAGGACCCCTCACTCCTCAGTGAGGACCTTCACAGCTGAGAAGGTCTTACCCACCACATGTGGGTGTGGGGCCAGCCCATTTTGCATCTGTGCCCTTTCTTCCTTCTATATAGCCTTCTTCTGTATATCCTTAGTTAAAGAAGTTCTGGTGAGCTAGTCTTCAGGTGGTTCTCAAGGGTGATTGTTCTACAATTTAGTTGTAGTTTTGATGTGGTCCTGGGAGGAAGCAAGTGCAGACTCTTCCTTGGGTAGCTTTATTTTTATTATTCTAAGTTTACAGATTAAAAACAAAACAAAACTGAAGCATGAGAATTGAAAGAAACTTGTTTAAGGTGATAAGGTAATGTAGTAAGTGGCCGAGATAAGATTCAAACCTAGTTATCCTCTACATTATCCTCTACAAAGTCTCTCTTTATCCATCATCATTACTGGTGGAATCTTTATGGTACTGGGTTGGACATCAGGAACTCACTATCTTAGGATAAACATGGTAGGCAGGATGTGAGATTGTGGGAATAGAGGTTATAATCTTGTTGATGCACATGAACGCGGATGACCTTCTTGGCTAAGGCCGCACATTGTCCCTGCCAGAGGTCAGGGTGATTTGCTATCTTCTGCTTCTGAACTGTGCCTCTGGGCTCAAACATTCTTTCAATTTGATTCCCCACAGACACTCACTTTTAGAAAATGCCATTTAACCATCAGAATCTTGCTGCCAGAATATTCCTTTTGAAAGCCTTTATCTGGCCATCATAAGTAGTATTTTCTGTTTTACTGATATAACTATGATCTCTAACAGGAGCAGTCTGCATTAGCTTGCTAATGATGAGAAAGAAACCTGAGTAACCCCACTACACAGGCCTTGCAAGTGTCTTTGAAACCAAAGGTGATTCCTAAGGTTAAAGCTTTCTTTACTTTCCCCAGAAAACTATATATTATCAAGGTTACTTTACGGGCCATCAGAAAAATACCCCCTTCCCTCAGGCATCATCCACACCCTTTGAAGGGCAAAGAACATTACACAGAAACACTTCATATTTTATTTACACAGAAACACTCCATGTTTTACTTACAGAACTCTGGAATAGATTATGGAAACATTTCTTCCAGAATGGCACTCCGGGAAAACCTGAAATGTAAAACATTTGATTGGTATCTGAAAAATGTTTATCCAGCCCTGAAGCCAATCCACAACATTGTAGCCTACGGAAGAGTACGTATAATGAAATTGCATTTCAGATTTTAAATATTTGACTGTAATAGACAATGAAACCTGAATCACATGACTACCCAGAAAAGGGTTTCCCAAACCATCCCATCCAAGATTCTCTTCCTATCCCCCAACTCCTTCCTCAGTGATTTGCCCTTGGACCCTCTCATTTCCTATTATCTCTTACTTCCCAGTTCTCCTCTCTTTTTGTTCTCTTTGCCTCCACTTCCTTTACTTGGAAGCCCTTGCTCTGCCTCTCCCGTTTCTCAGCCAATCAGGGTGTTTGGTCTCACCCACCTGAAGGAGGCTGAGATGGTGTCACTTCTTTATATAAATGCTGGTCCTGGTGGGCAGGTATTCCCAGGAAGTGGGGATCACAGCAATGCTTCATTTCAGCATTTGTCTTAGAAATTTGCTTAGAAAATTGCTGTCAAGATAGCAAACTGCTGGACCTTTGGCTGGTAATTCCTCACATCTTGGAGTACTGAATAAAATGCAGGGTCTGGGAGGCTTGATGCTCTCTTTCTCAGACTCTTTCCAATCATGTTGTCATGTGTTTTGCTCCTTCAGATAAAAAACTCACTAAATGAAAATGACTGCCTGGATCGGGGCCCTATTACAGGCAAGACCCCCATCATGTATTTCTGTAATGAATACAGTCCACAGGTATCTTCCACAATCTTCTTTGCCCTGACAGGATGAGTCTGTTGAGGCTCAGCCCTAGCAACCGTTGCCAGATTTTGACTCAGTGTGAGATGTCAGGGAGGCAGGAGCTCGGAATCCTGGGTAATGTGTCATGGTGAAACCCCAACCTGAACTTTTAACTAAGCACTTCAAAGTTCATTAAAACGTTATGGCAGGACAGTTCTATTTCAGATATGAGTAGGGTAGGTGGGAAGGCTCTGAGCTGTTGCATTCATTCTCCATGCTAATATTTTCATTGACAAAACCTTCAGTTCCTTTTTTCCTTCTTCCCACTGCCTCCCTCCATCTCCCCCCATCCCCCATTGCTCCTTGTGTAGGAAGGTGGAGAGCTGGCACCACCTTGGCTTCTTCCATAGAGAAGTAAACAAGGGCTAGAGAGTCACTGGTGGAATGGGAGTCCCTCCAGGGGATAGAGAGATCTGGCACCAAGTGGGAGGTATAGCAGGGGACTTCTTTTTCCCTGAGACTATTCACATCTATCATGTTACTTTTCATATTGCCCTCACAGGAACCTCTTGAGGGATGAGGGCTAGATAGCATTTCCACTTGACAAATAAAAAAAAAAAAGTGTTGTGACACAAAACAACTTACTTGTTCAAACTCACTGAGCAAGGGAGGGTCAGATTGAGAATTTGAAAGGTTTCCTGACAACAAGCTCACTGCGGAGGCTTCCGATGACACCCTAGGAAGTTCAGTTGTGTTTCCCCCTAGCCCCAAAGATAAGCTCTCTCATCCATGCAAGCCATGATTCTGTTGGGCTTCCTGCATGGAAAGAGGCAAGCTAGTGCTCCCACCTCATGCTTGGTCTTCTCCCTAAAATCAACTGGGGGTGGTGGGAGAAAGAAACACAGAGTACTGCATGTTACTCAGGAAAATTCAATGCTCCCCTTAGTGACTGAGTGTCCACAGGACCCATAGCAGTCTTTATGTTCACTATCTGGGTCAAGGGTCTCTTCACAGACTGTGCCTACAGCAGATCCCTTTGCTGTCTTTTAGAAAATCTACTACCATCTAACTGGGGAGTTGTACGTGGGACTGATTTCAGAGGCAGTGGCTGAAGACAACTGCCTGACAGACCCTGGCAATGGGGAGAATCCTACTTTGGAGCCATGTTCCAAGGCAGCCAAAAATGGACTACACATATATTGGGATTTTAAGTCGGTGAGTTGTGTATTTTTTAAAGGATAGATATATTCAAATATAATCTGAGAGATTCATATTTGATTTTGTAGTGTTTTAGAAAGACTCAGTTTGTGACAATGTGTAGGGAAAACACCAGAAACAGGGAACTGGGTATGAAACACTGAGTCTGTTGATTAAGGTGGGGTGTTGAAGGGGGGAAAAAAAGAATCTGGAATCTGTTATAGCTTAACAGGTAAGCATTTGGGTTTGAAGCATAGTTGTTACATTTAGCAATTTAAAAAAAATATATTTTATTGATTTTTTACAGAGAGGAAGGGAGAGAGATAGAGAGCTAGAAATGTCAATGAGAAACATCGACCATCTGCCTCTTGCACACACCACCCCCCCCCCCCCCCACTAGGGATGTGCCTGCAATCCAGGTACATGCCCTTGACCGGAATCAAACCTAGGACCTTTCAGTCCGCAGACCGATGCTCTACCACTGAGCCAAACCGGTTTCGGCACATTTAGCAATTTTGTTACCCTCTCTGAGACTCAGTCTCCTCATCTATAAAATGGAAATAGTATTGACTTTATAGGTTGGGAAGATAAAATGAAATAATGTATGTAAAGCATTTTAGCATAGTGCCTGGCACATAGAAAGTATTTAATAAATACTAGAGGCCCGGTGCACAACATTCATGCATGAGGGTGTGCGGCAGCCTGGCCTGCATCCTCTTGGAATCCAGGACCCCTCAGGGGATGTCTGACTGCCGCTTTAGACCCGATCTCACAGAGATATTTGCAGGATCAGGCCCAAACTGGCAGTTGGACATTCCTATCACAATCCAAGACCACTGACTCCTAACTGCTCGCCTGCCTGATCACCCCTAACCATTCACCTGCCTGCCTGATTGCCCCTATTTGCTTGCCTGCCTGCTTGATCAGCCCTAACCATTTGCCTGCCTGTAACCCTGCCTGATCAGCCCTAACCACTTGCCTGCCAGCCTGATCATCCCTAACCACTCTCCTGCCTGCCTAACTGCCCCTAACTGTCTGATTGCACCTAACCACTTGCCTGCCTCTCTGATCACCTCTAGCTGCTTGCATGCCTGCCTGATCACCCCTAACCTCCTCTGCCTCAGCCTCCACCCACCATGGTAGCCACCTCTGCCTTGGCCCCTGCAGCTGTGGCTTCATCCAGAAGGTCATCCAGAATGTTGTTCGGAAGGTCGTTTAGCTGTTAGGTCTAATTATCATATTACACTTTTATTATTATACAATAGATTAGCCATTGTGATCAGTTTTATTGTTAATACTAAGCAGAGAGTCTGGAGCACTGGGCTGAAATTTGACCGGGACTATATAAAAGTCCCGACTTTAACTTCAACATCAATTGAGCAAGAACAAGGTGGAGGGAATCTGGCAGATTTACATGACAGTGGCATGAGGGACTTGGTTGACCAAGTCTATTAAACCGCACTGGCAGGACTGTGATGTCCTGATAGAGGGAGGCAATGCTTTGTCTATGGACATACCTCTGAGTATGTTGGTACTTTATGAGGTTCAGGAACCTCATATAAAAGGATATGGACAATCTAACTCAGAAATTCCTAACGTCAAGCTCATAATCTCTTTGGAAATCTGCTGCAGAATGGGAATGGACTATCTTCAGAAAAAACATATATATGCACCTATGGGCACAATTTTGCTTACAATTTCAAAGGGGTTTTGGATCTTAGGTTAAGTCTCTCTTAACTAGACAACATCAGTGTAAAGGAGGGAGGGAGTAAGTCCTGTCTTTCTGCTCTAAGCTCCAACTGTATGGAAATATATATAATTCTATGAAAGGCCATGCTTCCACTTATCTGAGGCACTTTTGTGGGTGTTATTTTCTCTCCTCCCACGTTTTTACCCAGCCAAATGCAAAATGTTCCTCTGAATTCTCTATGTGCTATCAGCACCCCTCTTCTACACTTGTCTCATTGTCTGTTTTAATTGCCTCCTCACTTGCTTCTTTTGATCACTAGACTGTAGGCTGGAGGGCAGGGCCTGGGTTTTGTGTGTTGTTTTCTCTAGCACCTAACAGAGTAGCTGAAACATTGCAAACATTCAAAAAATGGTTGTAGAACAAATAAAAGATTGGCAGACCTTTAGGTAGGGGAGAGGCGAATCTAGAGAAAAGATGATGCTGTGTTCATGAGAAAGTGAACTTGTTCAGTGTCTACAGGAGGGCAGAACTAAGACCAATTATTGGAGGTCAAAGACTTTGACTTAACATAATGGGCCAGAGGAGGAATTTCTAACAGCCTAATGGCTTACGCTATCCTACAAAAGAATGGGCTGCCTGGCCAGGTGGTGAGCATTCTGTCAATAGTAGTCACCAAGCAAAGCATGTCTGAGCATCTGGCAGCTAGTGACATCCTTAATGATATCTTCAGTAGAAAATGCAATTTCAGGTATATTTTCATTAAAAATTAATGTTTAATTTATTAAAGTAAAAAATTAAAGACCTCTAGTTTTTCTTTAAGCTTTCATGTTCTACTCACAAATCTTATTTTATCTATGAACCTATCAAGTTTAACAATCACTTTAAAAAATGTATTTTTATTATTGAAAGTATTACAGATGTTCCTTTTGTTGTTTTTTTTATCCCATTGACCCCCCCTCCACTCTGCACCTACCCCTCTCCGGGAACAATCACGTTTGAAGTGTCTAATCTATTTGTTTTTCTTGTTTTATTATATTAGCTATATTTTTTAGTACTATGTTAAATAATGGTGAGTAGAATGAATATTGTTGCTTTGTGTTAAAAAAGGGGGAAAGCATTGAGTATTTCACCGTTAAGTATAACATTAGCTGTAGATGCTAATGTTATCTGTAGTTGAAGTAATTTCTCTGTGTTTGTAACTTTTTAAGCATTTGTTTTATTATGAATGTGAATTGGATTTTGTCAAACACTTTTTCTGTGTCAATTGACATGATCATGCTTTTTCTTCTTTAGCTTATTGATATAATGGATTATGCTGATTAATTTTCAAAATTGAATCCGGCTTGTGTACCAGGAATAAAGCACACTTAGTCATAGTGTATACTTTTATTCATACTTTGCTGGATTTGAATTGCTGGTATTTTGTTGAAGATTTTTGTGTCTAAGTTGGCTACAGTTCATGTTTTGCAGCTTTTTTTTTTTTTTTTTTTTTTTTTTTGTCTTTGGTTTTAGTACTGGCCTTATGGAGTGAGTTAGGAAGTGTTTACTCTTTCTGCTGATGAAATTTATCCTTTTGACAAAAATTATAGAAGAGACCAATTTCTGGAAGAGACATTTTCAGGAAGAGATTCCCTGGAAGAGATTGTCTTAAATTGGTGTACAACATAGTACCATAAATTCTAGCCAATATAATCCTTCTTTAAATGTTTGTACACTTCTTTAGTGAGATCTTATGGGTCTGGAAAAATTCTTTTTCAAGAGCTTTTAAATAATGAATTAAAAATATTTTAATGGTACAGGGCTATTCAGATTATTTATTTTGAGTTTTTATAATTATTTATGACTAGAGGCTGATGCACAAAATTTGTGCAAGAGTTAGGCCCTCCTTCCCCTGGCTGCTGGCACTTGCTTCCCTCTGGCATCCGGGACCAGGCTTCCCTCACAGCCCGGCTTTGTCCGGAAGGATGTCTGGCCTAATTAGAATATTATACTTTTATTATTATAGATGATAGAGTTTTGTTTATTTCTGGTTTTTGGAAATTAGCCCTTTTCTTCAGATTTACAAGTTTAGAGTTATTTGTAGTGTTTTATTTATTTACTGGAGGCCCAGTGCATGAAATTAGTGCATAGGAGGGGATGTCTCCCAGCCTAGCCTGCACCCTCTTCAATATGGGACCCCTTGAGGGATGTCCTACTGCCCATTTAGGCCCAATTCCACGCTCTCTCACAATTCAGGATTGCTGGCTCCCAACTGCTTGCTGCCTTCCTGCCTGATTGCCCCTAACTGCTTCTACCTGCCAGCCTGATCACCCCCTAACCACTCCCCTGCCAGCCTGATTGACATCTAACTGCTCCCCTGCCAGCTCAATTGCCCCTAACTGCCCTCCCCTGTTGGCATGGTGGCCCTTAACTGCCCTCCCCTGCCAGCCTGGTCACTCCCAACTGCCCTCCTCTGTAGGCCTGCTCACCCACCCCCAGTTTCCCTCTCCTGGAGGCCTTGTCCCTTCCAACTGCCTCTTCTGCAGGCCCAGTCAACCCTAACTTCTCTCTTTTGCCAGCCCGTTCGCACCCAACTGCACTCCCCTCTAGGCCTGATTGCCCACAACTTCCCTACCCTGCTGGCCATCTTGTGTCCCCATGGGGGTGGCCATCTTTGACCACATCTTGTATGTTGGAGTGATGGTCAATTTGCATATTACTCTTTATCAGATAGGATTTTTTTTTAAAATATATTTTATTGATTTTTCACAGAGAGAAAGAGAGAGGGATAGAGAGTTAGAAACATCGATGAGAGAGAATCATCAATCAGCTGCCTCTTGCACACCCCCTACTGGGGATGTGCCCGCAACCAAGGTACATGCCCTTAACCGGAATCGAACCTGGGACCTTTCAATCCGCAGGCCGACGCTTTATCCACTGAGCCAAACCGGTCCCGGCTCAGATAGGATTTTTTATTATTAAGATATAATTGACATATTACATTATTTAATTTCAGGTGTACAACACAATATACTATATAATTTATTACAAAATGATTACACATACAATAAGTTTAGTTAACACTATCACTAGTTACAAAATATTTTCTTATGAGAAATTTTAAGATCTACTATCTTAGCAACTTTAAAGAGGATTTACAATTTAATAAATACCCTTACACATTATAGACTATATAAATTTAATACATTAAATTTTCTTTCTTAAGACATTCAATTATCTGACTTTAAATTGAATAATTCTTAAGATCATTTAAGTGTTTAAAATTTTGCAATCCGGTAAAATTTCAACATGTAAATACAAATTTAATTATTCAATTACAACTTTTTAAATTGGTAGTACAACATTTTAAAAAATATTTTTATTGATTTCAGAGAGGAAGTGAGAGGAGGAGAAAGATAGAAACATCAATGATGAGAGAGAATCATTGATCATCTGACTCCTGCATGCCCCCAACTGGGCATGTGCCCTAACTGGGAATTGAACCGTGACCTCCTGGTTCATATGTCAACGCTTGACCACTGGCTGGGCTGGTAGCACAATATTAATCTGTAACACAATTTTTCTTAAATATAGCATGCACTTAAAAACAGTAATACTAGTATATGCAGAATCTTTAACAAATACTATATCTTTGGTTCCTTTAACATTTATACTTAAGTGCAAATCTTCTGGGAATCAAAGATATTACATATGCTAAAGAAACAATTATGACATCCCAAACATTTTGGGGGTTGCCTTTTGAAGAGAATTTTGGAAGATTATTTTCTCAGGTGGCTGTAGTTGCTGATAGAATACAGGTAGTGGTGGGTGAGCCCTGGAGCTGCAGGGCAGCTGGGGGAGCCTGCCCACCACTCTGGTATCCAGGCTGGATCCCTTTGAATGTCACTCCAGAAGTCAAAGAGGGAGGCAACCATGTAGATGATGGTGTTTCCTGATTTTGAGTTATTTTTAAGTCAATTCATTCCATCAGAGCTTTTCATAACTGTCTTATCCCAATTCTTTCACATATGATCATGATATTTGATTGAAAGTTGGGACCCTTTTGTGCTCTACTTACTTTGTAGACACAACTACATTTATTCTACTAAAAAGTTACCAAAGATATATTCCAGAATTGAGGGGGTGGGTAAGACTAGACAATCCCTTTGTTTTCCTCCAAATTCATTATTAACATTTTAAGTCAACCAGATGAGGTTATGACCTTTAAAGACCCCAGAGAATAGAGCCAGCGACTATGAAGAGACCCAATGTGAAGAGATGAGTTAGAATAGAGACACATCTGAATGTGGGTTACGGTCATTGTTAGGAAGCCTTCCAGTCGGAGTGACAAGAGACTCTCCGGGAGAGATAGTGAGGAGACCACTTGTAGTCGGGGTTTAAGAAGAGACCTCTGGGGTGTGCTCTCCCAAGCTGCCAGAGGGAATAGTTCAAGAAAGCAACTTAGCTCTCTATAGAGAAAACACTAACACTGATCAGAACCCCAAAACTAATTATGCCTCCTTTAAAGGCACCAAATCTCTTTTAAGACAATATGTTAATACTAGGAATAATATAGAATGTAGATCAAGATTCATATAGAAAATATCTTACTATTGATATTTATCATGGCAAAGTATTACGAACAATGGAATGCCTAACACTATGGGAGATTTTTTGTTCATCCCTTGAACTGAATATTATATTGCCATTCAAATTACCCATAAGAAATGTATTTGCAAAAAGATTAATGAAATTGGAAAATGTACATCATGTAATGTTAGATTTAAAGTAAATATATTTTCCAAGTTAATAAATAAGCACATATTCCTTTTGTAAAATAGGGAAAAATAAATAAAAACAAAAATCCCTTTAAAACTGGCAGGCAACACCCCAAAATAAAAACCAAAGCAAAAATGTATTAGATCCAGATGAACACAATGCAAAAGAAACAAGAGTCTAGAGAGGATGAAAGGGATACTGTCAGAGCACATCTCAATCGTAAATGACTCGAAAATAGAAAAAAGATCATCATTGACTCTCTCAGAAAGATCACAATAAATTATAATAACCAAGATTTATTGAGTACGTATTATGTACCAGGCACTGGGTTAAACATGATCTATTTTAGTCTTTATATAACATTTATAAGAGAAATATTATCATTAGCTCTACTTTAGCTATGATATAACTAAAGCACAGAGTACTCACATAGTATTCCTAAGGTCACACAACATAGTAAAAGCTGTGGGTTCGAAGACAGAATCTTATTCACTATTTGTTATTGCCTCAATGCATAGGAAGTTTGTTTCTGAAAGGAAGAAAAACGCTGAATGTTGATTTGAAAAGGAAGGTAGAGTTAAGAGTGTTTTTCCTCCTCTTTTAATTGGGACATTTGGATATATTTAAAGTCAGTAAGAAAGGAAGCTGCTAAGAGGGAGAAATAAGGGAAGGATGTTAGACAGGAAGTGTGTTTTTCTCTATATATGTCAAGTACAGCTGGACTCTGAGAACAGGGACTGCTGGCAGTAAAGACAGAAGCAGGAAAGCTCCTCTGAGACCACCCATGTCATTCGGGTGAACGGCTAGACTGACTGGAAGCGGGGTCTTCTAACCAAGTGAAAACTAAAGGCATTGAGTGAAAGGGATACCGCATGCTAAGGAGACCTGGAGGAGTAACCTTAAGGAATAAGCCAAGTTCTGAGGCCAGACTGCTGTAGGCACATTTGTGGGCTAGGTCCACTCCAATGGTGGTCCTGTGTTGTCTGAAAGAGGAGGCCAAGAGAAAGGAGCGGTGGGAGTGTTGGGAAGAGTTCAAGACCTGGAGAGACACCTTGAATGGTGATGCTGGATGGATGCACTGTGGGAGGTTTGGGGGGAGAGGGAGTCCAGTGCGGCCAGGGGCAGGTGACATTTGGGAACAGGGCTGTTGGGGGCAGTTTGTGATTGCAACAGAAGAGAGGTATGGAGCTGATGGTTAGGGCGGGAGCAGGGATGTGGCCTTAAGAATGTGGTCTCGTCAAAACGGGTTTGGCTCAGTGGATAGAGCGTTAGTCTGCGGACTGAAAGGTCCCTGGTTTGATTCCGGTCAAGGGCATGTACATTGGTTGCGGGCACATCCCCCATAGAGGGTGTGCAGGAGGCAGCTGGTCAATGTTTCTCTCTCATTGACATTTCTAACTCTCTATCCCTCTTCCTTCCTCTCTGTGGAAAATAAAATGTATTTAAAAAAGAAAGAAAGGAAGGAAGGAAGGAAGGAAGGAAGGAAGGAAGGAAGGAAGAAAGGAAGAAAGAAAGAAAGAAATGGTCTCTGCCTCAAGATGCTCAAAAAACATTAAACCTAACTTTAACCCTAATATTAGATGAGGAAATTGAGACTAAGGCAGGTTAGGTAATTTGCCAAAGGCCGCTCTGTACATATTTGAGGGGGATTTAACACAGATGTTTTAGCTCTACAGCCTCCAACATTCCCAGTAGCAAACCTTCGTGGAGCCCCTACAGGGGAGAAGTAGGAACTGCCCCCCAGAGGGATGGAGAAAATAGGCTGAGATCCCTGAATGTAGCTCCCACTCCAGTCCTACCACAGGGCCTCGCTAAAGGAGGGAGAATCCTAATGGGTGTTACAAGCTCAGAGCTGCAGGCTTGAAAAGGAAGGTTGGTCATGGTTCTCCAAGGGGCACCATGTCTTGTCAGTCACTCTGACCTGATGCTCAATCTCAGGAGAGGCAGCCGCTAACTAGGAACCCAGCACAGCAGTGCTTCCCCCAGGTCTATGATTAGGTTACCGCGGGGCTGGGAGAGAAAGCTCTGGGTGACCCGAAGATGCACTTTGCTTCCTTTGTCCTCTGGGTGGCTTTCAGAGAACCGCTCCTCCCCCCCCCCCCCCCCCCCCCCCAGCTTTCCTGTGAGCAGAGCAGAGAGTGTAGGCGCAGGGCGGTGAGGCACGCCTAGGGCATTTCAATACCTTGATTGTCTCTCTTCCCATCCAGGGGAGAGCCATCATAAACAGGGCCACCAAACGATGTCTGGAGATAAAGAAGGTTTCCCTCTACTATAAGCCTGTGCTGCGGACCTGCACCACACAAGTGTGGACAATCCAGCACACTCTCGGAGACTGGGGATCCAACTAGCATCCAGTGATCCTCGGAGAGCCTAGATTTGAGACACCAATTCTTGCCACTGAATGGCTTCTACTCCCAATGCTGTTCAGAGTGCCAGAGGGTGAGAGAAAGAAAATGTGTGTGTGTGTGTGTGTGTGTGTGTGTGTGTGTGTGTGTGTTAAGCAAATGTGACTTCGGCCTGTGCCACACAGGATGGAGGATGGGAGGGCTGTGCATGTGTCCTGGAGGCAGAGTAAGGACACAAGAAAGCCTCCCCCAGCTTCCCTTGGAATGATACTGTATATATCAAACACCATTCTTGGAAACTCCTTCATCTGGCTAGCGTGTCAGGGAGAGAGGCAGGTGGGTGGAAGATTATCTTTGACTTCTGCCAGCGTTGGTTGGTCTTCATTCCTAACAACTATGGCTGTCATCTGCCCCTCACCTTCTCCTCATCGGCTCGAAGACTTCGCTGCCTTGGGGCTGCCGCACTGCAGAGACCCAGTCATCACCAGGGGCAGCAGGACACCTACTCAGGGGCCGCCCAGACTCTGAAGCCATGTCGCTGCTCCTACTCTCTTTTCTGGGCTGTCCTGAAAGATATAACAAAATAGACAAGGAATCTTACATATTCCTCGTTTATCCACTCACAGCAGTTTTATTCGATTACCCAGTCTCCCCAGCACAAACTAGGTTCCAGAGGCTGAGCGCAGCTCTTCAGCTCTGCACAGTGCAGAGAGAATGGTGGAGACATCCCAAGAATCTGGATCTTTCTCCAAGTAGCTCACACTATTTAATAGGCTTGATTACCCTTTTCCTCCCACAATCCTGAAAATTAGAGAAAATGAGGCTTGAAACGGAGAGGCATCATTTACTGGGACACAAAGGAAGGACTGGCTGTAGGACAAACTTGAAACCAGGACTCCTCACTGACATCACTGGGAGAGCCCTTTCCCCCAGCTGGCGAGGTGGGAAGACAGGTTAGCACATGTGTCAAACACAAGGCCCGCGGGCCAAATCCGTCCCGCCAGGCCTTGCAATGTGGCCCGCACCGCGCTGTCATCACTGCACTCTGCTGCGTTTCCATCACAATGACAGTTTATGACTGTTCAGTAAACCATTCGGCCCGCGATTTAGGCTGGATTTTAGATTTTGGCCCCTTCTCTGATTGAGTTCGACACTCCTAGGTTAGAGGATGGGAGCCAGCTCCATGGGGGGAGGGGAGGTAGAATGACTGTGTGTGTGTGTGTGTGGTGGGCTCAGCTTTCAAATATGAACTTATAGAGCCCCTTCTCCAGGGGTCACTTTGCCCCCTTGTCTCATGTCAGAGTTATGTGGGAATCATGAAATTCCCGTAGACAATTGGCAAGCAAGGCACTGTTAATTGAGTACAGAATTAAATCAGAATTTTTTTTAAAAAATAAGCTTTTAAAAGTGTACAAGTCATAATTGTACAGCTTGACAACATTTTCAACAGTGAACACCATATCAAAAATGAAAACATTGCCACAGATAAGATTTTACCATGAAAAATTACAGATCAGGATAAATGTTATGCAAATGTTTAACTTCTAGCTTCTCCCTAGCAAATTGAAGGAAAAATGCAATTCCTAGCAGTTTTTAAAAAATCACATATCCAATAGAAAAATAGACAAAAGACACAGTATCTGAAACATATGAAAAGATGTTTAATCTCATTCATAGTTAGAGAAATGCAAATTAAAACTGCACTGAGATAATTTTTCACTTAAATTGGTGAAAATTAGAAAGCATGACAGCACATTCTGTTGGCAAGATTATGAGAAACAGGAAACCTTACATTGTGATGTAGGGGTGCAAGCTTGTTCAATCCTTTTGGAAAGATACTTGGCAATAGCTAAAAAGATTATATTTTTAATTTGTGCCATATTCATTTTACTTCAAGAAATTTACACCTCCAAAAAGAAGAAAATACTATGTACAAAATAATTATTTGCAATATTGATAAGTGTTAGAAGCAAAGTATATGCTCAAACATCAGAGAGTGATTGAATACATCACCACAGTGGAGTACTATGCAGCTATAAAAAGAAGTAGGCACATTTCTTTGTACTAATAGGGGGCAATTTCCAGAATGAAAAAGTACAATAAAATGGCATCTATAGTAGGTATCTTTTAGGTAAGAAATAAGGAAAAAAAATATACATATACCAGTTTATTTATGCAAAATGAAACACAAAGATAAACCAGAAATGGCATTGCTTAGTGATGGGTGGTATTTAGAAATAGTGTGGAAAGAGCTGGGGAGGGGGATAAGGAAGAATGGCTATGTGAGGAGTGATATTTCCAAAATATACATTTTTTCTATAGTCTAGGATTTTAAAACCATGTTATATTTTGTACGCTCAAACAGAAATACATAAAGCCAGCAGGGAAAGAGGGAAACACGAAGGGGATGCAAACACAAGTGAACCTAACTATATTCCTCTAGTTTAACTGAATACACACTCACTCTAATCACATTCAGCATTCAGCTTCCAGATCTCAATTCTGAAATATTTTCCAATAAGAGGAACTAGGGCTCCTTGGAGATATTGCTGATTTTTGGCTTGGGAGGGCTAGGATGTTTTGATGGGGACGTCACAATTCACAGCAGTGAGACTCAAGGGGTTCCCATTGGCCAGATCTTTGCTAATTGGAAGAATTAAAATAAATGATTTTTATTCAATATACTAGAGGCCTGGTGCAAGGATTTTTGCACCGTTAGAGTACCTTGGTCTGGCTTGCACCCTCTAGCAATCTGGTACCCCTTGGGTGATGTCAGAAGCCTGATGCATGGATTTAGCCCAATTCCCACAGGCCAGGCTAAGGTACCCCCCCCCCCCCCCCCCCGGTTCAAGAATCTGTGCATCGGGCCTCTAGTGTGCATATAAGATCTTTGGTTAATCTCTTCCTGTCCTTTCCATTCCCCCTTCCCTCTAAGATTCATCAGTCTGTCCCATGTTTTCATGCCTATGCGTTGAGTGCCTGCTCCCTAGTGATCAATGCTACTGGTCAAACAGTCACTTAGGCTTTTATATATATAGATGACAAATCATACAATAAAATAAAAATCTATGAGTTCATACAAATGAATGCATGGATGAGCAAATGGATAAACAAGGAAAAAAGAAAGTTCTTCTTTATGGCAGAACACCAACTAAAATTGTAAGAATAATTATAAATTTGGAAAATTATTTGACAACCACATAACTAAAGTTATTTCAGGCAAGAAACACCAATTGATATTAAAACTAGTGGGTGGTGAGAAACAGGATACATACACAGCATCAGAGTAATTCCCCAGAAGGCATTATTAACTACAAAGAAAAAATAGTAATTTCAAGGCAGAGAAACTGGGCAGACACAATCCTAACTAAGTGATCAATGTTCACATCACTAGTTACTGAAAAAATGGATATCACGTGCCCCTCAGAATGATTCACGCAGAAGAATACATCATTTCTATGGTATTCCTGACTGAAATACAGAACTTGAATCTATAATCTTGAGGGAACCTCAATTAAATTCAAATTGAGGGGCATTCTTCAAAATAAAAGGTCTACATGCTTCAAAAATTTCAAAGTCAAAATATAAAGAAAGATTGGGGAACTATAAAGAAAGATCTAATCCCTGGAATAAAGGGGACTAGAAGGACATAACAACTAAATGTAATGTGTGATTCTGTACCAGAGCCTGGGACTGAGGGAAAATTATTTTTTCCTTGGTTGTAAAGGATAGCAGGGGATAACTGGTGAAATGTAAACAAAACATGGTGATTAGCTAATAATCTTGTATCAATGTTACCTTCCTGATTTTGATCATGGTACCTTTAGCTATATAAAAATGTTCTTGATTTTATGAAGTACTCATTAGAAGATGGATTGGGGGAAATTATCTCTGAGATTTTTAATGTATGGATACATAGATAGATAGATAGATAGATAGATAGATAGATAGCAGTGGGTGGACAGGTGGACGACAAACCACCAGATGAAACAGTTGGAGCAGGAAATAATAAAACAAATGTGGCAAAGTGAATTTGGATGAAAGGTAAGGGGTATACAAATATTCTCTGTCCTATGTTTGCAAAAAGATTTAAAATGTCTGTCTAGATATACATTAAATATATCTTCCTGCTGAACTGCTCTGTAAGCTGTGCTGCTCAGGCTAACTTTGGTGCTCCTTGTTCGAGGAGGGAATCTGTGATTCTCTCGCACCCACAGCTAGGACAACAGAAAGCAGCTTGGGCGTCCACTGTGCCAGATCTCGGCTTCCTGCAGCTGCTCTGAAGGTAAGGCAAGGATGGTGTGCATGTGCTACTTTGGCCCTGAAACCATCTATCTACTTGTCCAAAGTTCTGCATGAAATGCTGCTTCTCTGCTCACTGTCTGTGACCAGCCTTCGTTGGCCAGAACATTGTGAAGGTCACCTCAGTGACTATCTTTAGTCTAGTCTGGAGACTGTTCCCTTGGTAACCAAGTTCATTTTTCACTGATTCTTCTCTTTCTCTGATCTTGGGACTGCTGGAGCTCTATTATAAGTTAAAAGTTATCTTATAGATGCAGAAATATGATAGGTTGACACACAAGGCATCATACAAGCCCAACAGAGAAGTAATTCTGTGTTGGCCCCATGAGTTGGATCCCTGGAACCGTATGCATTTCCTCTGCTCAGACAGAGATAGTTTTTGGGGTGTCCCACATGTCCCTTTCTCTCCTCAACCTGCATTGCCTCTGGGTCTGCTGGTGGGTCCCTGGTTGACCCCTCATGGCCATGCAGAGAAGCCATACCAACAAGCATCCTGAAGGAACCACGCCTCACTGTTACCACATGCTCCTCTCTGCCCTGTGTCAGGATTGCTCCCTCTTTTCATGTCCTCTGTCCAAAGCTAAAAGCACAAAGCAGCTGTGCTTGGTCCCCTCAAGACCCCACAGAAGCCCTGGGGTATAGCTGGGATTTCTCCCTCTCCTTATTGCGGCTGATTCTCTGCAATAAGATTGTGGCCCTTTCTAAAGGGAGATAGGCCAGGAGCCTGCAGTCCCCCCATCAGGACCAGGGAGTCCCTCTGTTCCAGGCCCTAAGCATCCTCCACACAAGGCCCAAGCAACCCAGTGCTTTTCTCAGTGCAAGCAACTTCCTTATTGCTGCAAAACCCAAGGGGTAAATGTAGGGAGCGGTTATAGGGTTAAGCCTCAGACTGACCTGCTGGCAAAGTCGCAAACAAGTCCCAGCTTAGAGGGCACAGTCTTCTAAGCATGAAGGTTGATCTTGTGACTGCTCCCTAGATCTTTCCTGGGTAGCTAATGGGCTGTGGGAGGGGCAGCAAGTGTTGCCAAAACAAGTGAAACTTATAAGAACTTTGTAAATTACCTTGTTTGCCCCTGACTATAAATAAAGCATCAGCTTTGCAGTCTGGATCTGTTCTGTGGCCTCAGCCAGTCACCTAGACCCAGCTTATTCTCTCATCTGTCTTTATTTTTCATCCTTCACCGGCAGCACAGGTAAAGGGCTAAGTGCTTTATCATAACAAATGGAGATTCTAGGAGTTTTAAAAATTAACCTTTTATAGAGTTCCTTTATTTTACTTTGTAAGCATTTTTTTTTTTTTTTTTAACAAAAGATGTACAAAAATAAAGTTTAGTGAAATAGAGTTAGGTCATGGTAAGTGATTATCACAAGAATTGGTGGATAAAATCTACTTCTCATAACTTTAAGTTGTTATGTTTTAATATGGATGAACACAGTTTTCTCCCTCAATCATTTGGCGAATGTAGTTTCAAGCATTACATTCTTGTATCAGAATTACAAATCAACTGACCTTGGAATGATAAACACTAATTTCTCAATAGTATCAGAACACTGTTTGACTACCTTAACAGGAAGACCTAGGCCGATAGGTCACAACAAGGTAAGAAGTAGATTCAGTTTTAACTTCTCTCTCTAGCAAGGCACATGGCT